TCATTCATGATACTGAAATGTCAGCTATTCTCTGGTTCCAGTTTCTGCAACTTTCTCGTTTTCTGCTTTTCTGTTTTATAACATCGCAAGCCGAACATCTTTGGGTTTCTGGACTGTTGGACGGACACAACAACACATCTGAATACATACAGTAGAGAGTCAACATGTCTTTTTCACTTTCACAGCTCAATTCTTCACTAAAAACGTTCTATATAGTCTTCTTGCTTTCTAGATACCAGATAAAGTTGTGAACCCTAATCCTAGCATTGTATTTGCACGTGTACATCTTCATGGTGAAGTTAGCAAGAATAAATATGCAACGTCCGGTTAGACTTTTATAATGAAACTAGTGGTTAACGTTGTTAAACGTTGCAAATTTGGTTAGGTTTAGAAAGAAGACCCTAGTTTGGATTAAAGGAGACATATTATACTGTGTTTCCAGTCCTTTATCGTAGTTCTGTGAAGCCTGTATGGCAGCTTTGCATGATTAAAAGTTGCACAAATAATTTTATATCTTATACTGACCCTTCATGCAGGCCTTCATTTCAGCCTCTGTCTGAAACAAGCTGTAGATGCTCCTGTCTCTTTAAGGCCCCCCCTCTCAAAGCCCACTGTCTTCTGATTGGCAAAGACCTGAAGCATGTTACCAGGCTGCTGTTGTCGCTGGGCAGAACAGGCAGAAGTTGCCGTGCAGAGCAAATGACCATAAATGGAACAGCAGCTCCGTTTGGCTCCATGTGATGTATTACGGAGCCGTTGGTAGAAAAAGCCGTTGAAAACAGAGCGTTCAGAACAGGAGGAAATCTGAGGTTCATGCTCACAGGGATTTCTTTTAAATACTTTATCCTCCATCCTTTTGAAGCTTTGGCTGTGTTTAACATGAACATCCAACATTATAACGTTGTAGATACGTCATAAAATGTGGAAAAGCATAATAGGTCTCCTTTTAAAATAAATCAAGTTATGTTAGTTAACATAATGAACATGAATCGATGTTGACTTTTGTTTTTCACAGGAAACGAACACCAGTCTGGTTTCAGGCCCACCCATCCACCCCAACCCCCCACTTTTACCGTTCAACAATGATGCCAAAGGGCTTCCAGTGCGTTTAGAACTGACGCCAAGGGCTCTTGACCAAACGTCCTTATGTGACGACTTGGCAGTGAGTGAAAGGGCTGACCACATTCAAAAACTGACGAGGTATAATCTGTGGGGAAAAAATGCTTTTTAAACCTTATTTTGGGGCAAAGTCACAAAACTGATTTAGATGATCCTGGATTCTATAAATGCAGAGTTTATTTCCTGGTGACCAATGAAATTTTGGCTCTCTGACCATTCACTTAAAGAGAGACCTGATCCTGTTAGTCCCAAATAATTACCTGGAGGCGTTACCAAGATGGCTGCCGATGCTGTATAAGGACTTTTGCCGTTTTTCCATTACCAGTAGCAACTCGACTCGGTTTGGCCCTGCTCCGTTTTCCAATGCAGATAGTACCCAGAGATAGCACCCTCCAATGTAGCTGGCCGGCCTCGCCAGCTCCTCCCGCGGGTTGGCACAGGCTTCCCCCGCCGCCACTTGCGGAGCTCCTCAACTCCAAAAACTCTCAAGCACCGCCATCACTTCTCGTAAAACTGTCAATAGTCGAAATCTACACAGCTGATTTCTCACCTCAAAACTTCTCAGAAGTGGATTTAGTGATGAAATAACGTGTTAAAGTTGTAAAATATAAAACTTTCTGTTGCTGCCTCTGTCAGGCGCACGCAATGATGATGATGCAGTGAATGGTGACTCTCTGTGAGCAATCAGGAGCCTGCTGTGTTTTCACGTCACATCTTAGTATCGCCTCAACTCGCTTGGAACCTCGATGGAGGTGATACGAAAAAAAAGTACCTGGAAAAGTGCAACGGAAAACCAAAAAAAGGCAAGTCGAGGCGAGTTGAACTGGTACCATGCAGTGGAAAAACGGCAACTAGTGGTCCTAACAACAAACATCCATAAATGCTAAAAGCTATACGGAAACTTTTATGCTTGGTTCTTCCTCGCTTAGCATTAACATTAAATCTAAAAGATGAGTACTCTCAGGTTGTCTGCAATGATTGTATGACTCGTGCTGGTTTACAGGGTTACTAATGAGCTATTAATGTGAAAAAAAGTTTGTATTTCTCCAACCTGATGGCTGTTGCTTTATCAGTTTCTTGATTAACTACAAGTAAATCTGAAAACCTACATTAATAAACCAAATATAACTTGTTGAATCACCCCCATCTTACAGGATTTATTGTTAAATACACCCGCTTTTAATTAAGGTCTTGTTCCTGTTCTGTTTTTAACTCGATTTAATAACAAAATAAGAGCAGTTTTTAAGTAAAATTAAAGCAGTTTTCCTCCCTTATTTAAAACTCTAACTGCTTTTATGGCTGTTTATGTAAATTGGAGACAGATTAATGTGAGTTTATTCTAAAGACCGCGTGTTAGTCGAGGTGGCTGTTGGGTGTGTTGTGTTGCTGCTGGGAGCCTTTTTCTCCGCTCAGCCTCATATTTTGTATAAATGAAACAGAAGGAAACTCGTCTTGACATGAAATTTCGAGCAGTCGGCTGCAGAAAGTGCTGCGAGTAATGAGCGTCTGGTTGAGGTGTCAAATAAGAGGATTACCTCGTTTGTGGGCTTTCAAAGGATAAGTGGATATCTGAGGGCTCATTCGGCCGCGCCGTATGAACCCCGACCTTTCACAGATGGAGGGGGGCGGGGCCTCGCGGTGGACCCCCCTTGATCCGTCCATCAGGGGAGCTGACATTTCCACCGTCCCAGAAAAACAAACCTCAGTCTCATTCTTATGGAAAATTTTATTCTAACCTTCCAGCGCGGCGCTAATCAAGACGACTGCAGATTATCTTTTTGTAATCACCTCAGCAGGTCCGGTTTCCTCAATAGAGGCACAAGTGTGGATCCATCTAATCTGTCAGAATTAAATGAGATCCATCACAGATCTGGATAATGGGCCCTGCAGATTGTGTGCAAAAATCTGCATTAATAATTCAGCTCGGATTTTTATTATTCATGAGTGGGAGAGTGAGAGGAGAGCCGGGCGGGCGGGCGAGCGAGCTCTGAGGCTTGGATGTAGATTCAACTGCTGCTGCTTTAAAGAAGCACGGCGCACACACAGAGAGGGGAGGGGTTTCATTTGGAAAAAAGTTAACGATGAAAAGCAGAAAATATATATAAAAAGAGACGAAAATGATTCTTGTTTTGCAAACGCACCAACTTCTGTGACTTTTGACTGCTCCTTCACAATGAAAGCCGCCCCTTGTTTGTCCAGTTAAAGTCTTTTAATGTGAAGCAGCATGAAGAAATATTGTGTTTGTATTAATAGTAGTTTAATCCAGCTCTGTGAACTAACCGCAGACGCTCAGCTGTCCCGCTGTTATTACAGACACGTGAACTGACCGCAGACGCTCAGCTGTCCCGCTGTTATTACAGACACGTGAACTGACCGCAGACGCTCAGCTGTCCCGCTGTTATTACAGATACGTGAACTGACCGCAGACGCTCAGCTGTCCCGCTGTTATTACAGACACGTGAACTGACCGCAGACGCTCAGCTGTCCCGCTGTTATTACAGACACGTGAACTGACCGCAGACGCTCAGCTGTCCCGCTGTTATTACAGACACGTGAACTGACCGCAGACGCTCAGCTGTCCCGCTGTTATTACAGACACGTGAACTGACCGCAGACGCTCAGCTGTCCCGCTGTTATTACAGACACGTGAACTGACCGCAGACGCTCAGCTGTCCCGCTGTTATTACAGACACGTGAACCGACCGCAGACGCTCAGCTGTCCCGCTGTTATTACAGACACGTGAACTGACCGCAGACGCTCAGCTGTCCCGCTGTTATTACAGACACGTGAACTGACCGCAGACGCTCAGCTGTCCCGCTGTTATTACAGACACGTGAACTGACCGCAGACGCTCAGCTGTCCCGCTGTTATTACAGACACGTGAACTGACCGCAGACGCTCAGCTGTCCCGCTGTTATTACAGACACGTGAACTGACCGCAGACGCTCAGCTGTCCCGCTGTTATTACAGACACGTGAACTGACCGCAGACGCTCAGCTGTCCCGCTGTTATTACAGACACGTGAACCGACCGCAGACGCTCAGCTGTCCCGCTGTTATTACAGACACGTGAACTGACCGCAGACGCTCTTCCATGGTCTCAGCCGATTGGAGGAAACCTGCAGAGATCAACTGATCTGCATTTGTTAATGAGTCCTGAACCAGAACAGCGTTCTCATTACACACAGACCCAAACAGCCCGAGCGGACCGGACAGCCAACATGTAGTGTCCTTGTTCCTTCATCTCATTGGCTCGTAGTCGGCGTCTCGTCCGGTCGAGGGGGTGTGGCTGGCGGTCTGTGTTGGGTTTTTTTGAGGGTGGACTAGTTTTCCTTAACGAGAGGCCGAGGAGGAACACACACTCATTAGGAGGCTAACAACGTTGGGAAGAAACCACCCGAGGACGGACTGTACTCCGCCGCCACTTTGTGGGAAAACACGGCCACAAGAACAATAACATCGGATCTAATGAGCTGATTTCACCACAAACATCCAGCACAGAGCGGAGACAGAGGTGTAAACTGAACTGATGTGCAAATAGGCTGTTTGTCTGGCGGTGTTTGTGGAAACGGCACGTCCTCTCCTGTCCTGTCCGGCGGCGGCGGCGGCGGAGCTGAGGATAATAACCCTGGACAGCCGTGTGGTCGCGCTGCACACGCTCAGTGAAAGCCCCGTCAAACTGACTCTTCTTCTGAGACTCATTTGGTGATTTATCATAACGGAGCCTCTTTGAAGGGCGCAGCCTTTGAGAAACGCTGCTTTTTATCTTATTGTCTTTGGGCAGAGTCTGATCTCAAGTCTTCCTGTTGCCTTTATGAAGAGGAACATGAGAAGTTTTGGCCTAATTAAAACTTTCTTTTTGGTGTACTTTCTGACTACAGGTGCACGGGTGTTTAAAGACAGCAGAGTGGAACTGACAAAGGCAGAGCTATCTGGAAATCCGGCCCTCGGATTAAAACCATCACACCTGAGCGCAGAGGCAGAGAGTCTGTGTTAACTCGGTTTTAATGCTTTCTGTTTAATCTGGGTGGCAGCAGCCTCTCACCTTCATCTGTCTCCTGTGAAGTTCCTCTTTAAAATATTCAGAAAGTGAGCCGAGGCAGGCACACGTCTGTGTTTAAACTTTAAAACCGGAGACTCTCAGCGAGATGTCAGCGAAACTTAAGCGAGAGGAGCCGCTGCTTTGAGGCTCAGATTCATCGAGCCGAATGTGAATTTTATGACTTAATGTTAAAAGAGAGAAGCGCTGTGATGGAAAATGTCACTTATTGACAGAGACTGGTGTGAATGTGTGTGTTCTCTGGAAAACATCTGTTTCTGAGAGGAGACCTGGAGACGCCGCCTGTCACAGACAAACTTTAGAAACACTGACGGCTCCTTTAAAGGACCGCTCGGCTGGTAACTGTATTATTTACATCGATGCTGATCATTCTCCAGGCCGGGTTTTAGATCAGACTGTCGGATAGGTATCACAGTCAATATTAAGTCACCTTTACTTTATTCTAAAGTCTCCTTCGTGGTGTGTTCAAGGACACTCCGTGAACTGATACTGAACTGAGTCTCTGGAAGCCAAAAGACAAGCGGAGACGGACACAGTTAAAAAGTGATTGCTTGTTGTTTCTGACTATCAAAGATGCAACGTTGGAGGAAAACTCTCTCTGTAGGTGCAAAAATACAGATATTCCGGGAATTTCTGGTCTTTGAAGGTCTCATATTATGCTGATTTGTCTACTAGAAAATGTTTACATGCTTTAATGTTTAAGAAAACTCTGAATACTCTGAATATATTTGTCGTTTCTGTCTCCCTGCTACGTGGGCCACAAATGTTATGTCCGATTGTAGAGTGCTTGTAGACGTGGCCGCACAATAGATTTGCAGACATGTAACAACCAATAAAGACAATAATCAGTGCAGCTGTTCTTATCCAATGAAAGATCTTCACTCCTGGTTTCAGTGGTAAACCACCTCCAGAATCTCCATCAAAAAACACTTAGCAGACACGTTTAAAAAAACATAAATGAAAGTAATTTTTGTATTTCAGACAAATAGGAGACTTATTAGAAAACTTTAACAAACCTCTCTTCACCGCCATGCACCATGGGAATTCTGAGGGACAGACTTAGGCTGCTATATATCACCCCGGACTTGCACAGGCGGCGTGTGCGCCGCGGTTTAGTTCAGTCCTCAGTGTTTCAGCAGCAGAGCGTGCAGCCTGCCCCACGGTAATGACTTGTTTTAGATACGTCCTTGTGCTTCTACAACCTTCTTCACGGCTCTCTGTGACCCGCTTTCATTCGATCCCACAGGGAACATTTCAGAATAAGAGTGGTTTTTTTTTTTCTGCCTGCTTTTGCTGACATGTTTAGATTTTGTTGATTTGGTAATCAGTGATGCTTTTTGTGCTTCTACTATGATTAAGTAGGCTACATAGTTAAATTGTTTCTTTTTGGCCTGTTTTAACTGTGTTTATTGTCCATTGTCAGCTTTAATCATATAAAACGTAATTTTTCCAACAACAAAAATGTGGCAAGTGAAAATGCTGTGTGGCTAGTTACTCTGGAAAATCACTAGCCACATTGGCTAGTGAGCAAAACTGTTGATGTTAAGCCCTGATCGTAACTATCGCATAAAGACGTGGACGTCCTGTGGCTCTACCTCAGCTGCTAAAGGTGAGAAATTCCTGTCTCTTCCTTCTTGTTGCCAAAGGCTGAAAATGACCTTAGTGTTTACAAGGAGAGCATTCTCATTCCTCCAAAAGTTAATTTGAATACAGGTACAGAGAACAGCTGGTGGTCTTTGAACGGTTAAAAATCTTTTCTCTTATTTTCATCATTGGCTTCATCCACAGAGCACCTTCCTCTCCGAGACTCTGAGCTCAACGCCGAGATCCCCGGAGAGATCTGTCCATTAGCCCGAGAAAACACGACTGCCATGTGGAGAGAATATAATACAGTTTGGGAGAGATTGAGAGGCTTTGGGAGGTTTGTGAGCCGCCGTCGTCCACATGTGAGTGACGGAGGAGGCGGCGTGGATCCACGGGTGGAGCTGAGGATCCTCGGGGAGAGTGCTGCTGCCAAAGCAAACCAGGTGGAAAAAAGGGTTTCAAAACCTCCCCTGCTCAAAGCCTTCTCGTCCTTCTCCTCTTTCCTCACCACTTTCTCTACACATGTACACTGAACAAAATTGTAAATGCAGCCCTTTTGTTTTTACCCCCATTCATCATGAGCTGAACTCAAAGATCTAAGACTTTCTCTATGTGCACAAAAGGCCTATTTCTCTCAAATATTGTTCACAAATCTGTCAAAATTAGTGAGCACTTCTCCTTTGCTGAGATAATCCATCCACCTCACAGGTGTGGCATATCAAGATGCTGATCAGACAGCATGGGGATTGCATAGGTGTGTCTTAGGCTGGCCACAATAAAAGGGCCTTAGGCTGGCCACAATAAAAGGGCCTTAGGCTGGCCACAATAAAAGGGCCTTAGGCTGGCCACAATAAAAGGCCACTCCAAAATGTGCAGTTCCATCACACAGCACAACGCCACAGATGTCGCAAGTTTTGAGGGAGCGTGCAGTTGGCATGCTGACTGCAGGAATGTCCACCAGAGCGGTTGCTCGTAAATTGAATGTTCATTTCTCTACCATAAGCCGTCTCCAAAGGTGTTTCAGAGAATTTGGCTGTACATCAAACCGGCCTCACAACCGCAGACCACGTGTAACCACACCAGCCCAGGACCTCCACATCCAGCAGCTTCACCTCCAAGATCGTCTGAGACCAGCCACCCGGACAGCTGCTGCAACAATCGATTTGCACAGGCCAAAATCAACAACCTGATCAACTCTATGCGAAGGAGATGTGTTGCACTGCGTGAGGCAAATGGTGGCCACACCAGATACTGACTGGTTTCTGGAGAATATTTCACTTACTTAAGGACAAAGAAACTTGAAACAAGTGAAATTCTCTAACATAAAAGCCGCCTGGTAAGAAGAAATATCTTGACAGACAAAAAACAAGTATATTTTTGCTTCAATTAAGATAATTAATCTTACTAAGATTTTAGTTTTTGCAGCGTTGAAATGCCACACCTGTGAGGTGGATGGATTATCTCGGCAAAGGAGAAGTGCTCACTAACAGATTCTGACAGATATGTGAACAGTATTTGAGAGAAATAGGCCTTTTGTGTAGAGAAAGTTTTAGATCTTTGAGTTCAGCTCCTGATGAATGGGGCCAAAAACAAAAGTGTAGCATTTGTAATTTTGTATATATAATTATGACTTATGTGAAAACAAGTAAGTTTTCATAAATGAATATGAAAAATGTTGTGGGTTTACATGAGTTATTTCTGAATATCAGGACTGTGATAAGGAACTTAACATAATTTGCACTTGTAAATATAAAACGTAGCCATCAAAATATAAAAATTATACAATTACTGAACAGATTCCTAGGTTCATTAATAGGGGATACACTTAGCTCACGAGACGAGACGATGTTTTATCACTATTTTTAAGACCTCTTCAATGACGAAATATATGACAGGAAGAATAGTCTTTTCTTTGACTAAAAGTAACAAAATGCAAAACGTTTTTAAATGTTGCTTCACATGTTGTTCGTGTCTTGCCTGTTACTCTGTCGTCTTCTATGCTAATTTCACCCTCACACTTCGTCATGCTGATGTCGAGCTTTTCACCTCGACGAGACGTATCGTCATGTTTTAATATTGCGAGATCTTGTGGCACGAGATCTCGTCACACCCCCATTCATTAATAAAACTGAACCACATTACCGTGACAAAAGGACGAGGAACTATTTCTCTCTATTCTCTTATTATTCTTATATAACCTGCATCTGTTTATTCCATATCTAAAGCTGAAATGTGAACTTCCTGATTTAAAAAAAAAAAAGTTAATTATTGTTCATTTTGTATGTATGAACAGAATACGACAGTCCTCGCAGACTATATAAAGGAAGTGAAGATTTAATATTCGTTTTAAATAGTTGAGGTGAAATAATTCCAATTTCAGAACTCGGTAAATGACTTGACAGTTTGTTGACTAATCTTGTTGGATAAACGTGTTGTTCTACAGACAGATCTGATCTCAGTTCAGCCTTTCATGCCTCTGCTCTGTGCTTCCTGACTCTTTAGTATTCTTCCCTGAGTCACTGATTCTGGATGAAAGAGACAGAGTCAGAATCACACATCCAGCTCCTCAAAGCTCTGAAGTTCATCTTTTTTCCCCCTCTTTGTCTTTAATTCCTACAGAGGAGAAGCTGACGACCTGAATACAAATGTCACCGCTGTGTTTTTGTTCCTGTGTGGCCCGGCGTGTGAAGACGGAAAGTTTCTAAAGGTTTTGATTATTGGGCCCAAAGTTGCATTTAGTCATTTGTGGCCACTTGACGGCATAAAGACTCTAAAGCAAACTGACAAACACTGACTGTCGGCTAATCATGTTGTTCTGGCTAACTTATTAGCCTTCTTCCAGATCTAGCAGACACAGAGCAACATGCTCATCTCAGTGGACTCGTGTCTGTGTCCACCTCATGAATATAAATCCAGTATTCTCTCTCTTTTAGCTCTGTGTTTGGTCTCCTCCACCCCCTGAGGGAAATAACTGGCTCTTTAACTGATAAATGCTCCACTGTGTCTTTCTAATGTTTGCTGCTGTGCTGTACTAGAAGTATATTTAGATGCTAATACTTGTGTAGTTTTACTTTCCACACTGCGGTATTACTACTTTTACAGCAAGGTTTGAATACTTCTTCCCCTACTCGTGCAAAATAGATGTATAAAGTCGTGTAAAACTTAATTACTTAAAAACAATTTTAAGTACTTGTACTTTAAGTCCAGTACTTAATTAAATCTAATAATGCTGCCCACACACTAGCGGATAATTGATAATTAAATATCAAACATTTATCATTTGAAATCGATAGCCGAAAAGCGATCTCTGTCCACACCAGCGTTTTAGATGTTGGAAGGCAGAAAGTAAATGTTTGACTTTATTCACTTCTGTTTCAGAGTTGATCACCGTCTATATTAAAACGACCGAAAACGCACATCAAGTGTCCGTTCACGTACGCTGGGCATGTGTAAACAGGAAGCAGATTGTCTGCTGCAGTTGCAGAAGATTTAGCAAAAGAAGAAAGTACTACTACAGACAAAAAAACACTTTCTCTGCATGGACCAACAACAGACTGTTACTGAAAGTAACACGGGAGGACAAAGAGACTGGGGCAGTGGGAAACAGACTGGGAGTCGTCACAAAGTAAATACGGCCACATGCACACTACAAGTGTTATTAGGGCTGGGAAAAAACACAATAACAATAATTATCACAATATCATTTTTTTTAACAAATGTTAAATAAATAATAAATGTTTGATTTTATTCACTTAAAACACAGAATTTATGAAGATGTTTATTTTGTTGAGGAAAAAGGACCGAAAAAAGCTTTTACTTTACTCGTGCACAGGGGCCGACTGGCCATCGTGACCTTCGGGAGCAGTCCCAAACGGCCGGCCTGTCTGCTGCAGACTGGGTTTTTATTTTTCAGTTTCTGTTTTACTTTATGATCCGTGATCGCGCCGGCCGGCTAGTCTGCTGCAGCGAACGCTGTCTGTGTTTCTGACTGGGCCAAGCCAATACTTTCAATATGGAAGGGGTGTACGAGCGGCCCCTCCCAACTTGGATGTTCGTTTTTGCCAAAGTCTGATTGGCTCAACAGGGCCGATCAAAGAAGTTTACTTTCCATCTGGAGCGAGTTTAATCTCCAAACGTTTCGTCGGGGCTGAAGTCAGCGCTGGGTTGTGTGATAGGCTCAACGGAGACGGCAAATGTGGAGAAGAGAGGGAAAGAGGGAAAAGAAATGTGTGATGCCAAAAAAATAAGAATTAAGAAGAAAGAATAT